GCTAACAAAACCACTCTGCTAATAGCACCATGCTGCTAACAGAACCATGCTGCTAACAGGACAATGTTGCTAAGAGAACCTCACTGCTAACAGAACCACTCTGCTAACAGGACCACGCTGCCAATAGAACCACACTACAAACAGTATGCTGCTAACGGTACAATGTTTCTAACAGAATCACTCTGCTAATAGCACCATGCTGCTAACAGAACCACAATGCTAACAGGACCATGTTGCTAAGAGGACCTCACTGCTAACAGAACCACTCTGCTAATAGGACCATTCTGCCAACAGAACCACACTACAAACAGTATGCTGCTAACGGGACCATGTTTCTAACAGAACCACTCTGCTAATAGGACCATGCTGCTAACAGTAACAGTGTTTTTACAAAACTATTTTTATTTTAATTGCTTTTTATTGCTGCATAATGTCTGCACTACATGTTGTCTGTCTAAAGCAGGTCTTCTGTGAGGTACTTTGTACTGATCATTCTACTAGCACCGTTGTATTCCTCCATGTTGTTTACTATATTTCTTTACCTACCTTGTACCTGTAGGTGTTGAATTTCTTTCTCACCTTTTGGTGCTTTGTTTCGTGCTTTTGTCACATGCTTTGGTATTTATTTTATTTTATTTTTTAGAGCGGGTCGAGACGGTTCTTCTCGTCCTGAGCATTTCATTGCATTGTTGACCTTGTGTTGAGCTGCATATGACAAATGAACAAAAAACTAAACTAAATGTGCAAGAGGAACAACACATTAATTTTCTGTTTATAGTGTTAATTTCAAGTCTTAAATTAGCTCTCATGGATGCATGTACATGTTTTCCACCAGAGTGGCGGGCAGGTGTGGCAGGTCACCTTATCCTGTCAGATGAGGACCTGACATCAGTAGTCCAAGGCTCCTGGAAGCGTCTCAACACTTTACAGCACTACAAGGTCAGTTTCACAAACTACTGTCCCTGTTAAACCACACACAGGAAAGATAAACCAACATTTACAGTAGCTAAAAAACATCTGTAAGTGATGAATGGTTTTACCCCCAATGTTAGAAATTTGTAGAAATGACTGTCCCAGCAGGTCCCCGATGGAGCCACTGTGGCCCTCGTCCCCCGGAACAACAAACATCATTTCCATGACAGCCATGACTACATGCCTGGAGAAAGTGAGTCACGAACGAAAATGAGAACAACATGACAGGAAACATAAATATGTTTAAATGTATGTTCACAGTCTCCATATTTTTAAAGGAACGCTTGAAGCATAAAAACTTATACATGGTTAGTTTTTCTGTATCAACTCACGTTTCACAAACAGCTGAAATTATGGTGAAAGACCACTAGAGGTCGCTGTTACACCAAATATTTTACGTTGTGCTGAGCGAGAACAGCTTTTATAGTTGTTGTAGGAGTGTCTCAGTAATGAGGTTGAAACAATAGAATAGTTATCTCAAACATGTAAAATATACATTTATAGGGCTCAAACGTTAGTTTTGGGCAGTTTTCTAAAAAACAAACAGTTTGTAAAACGTGAAACAGCTCAACTTCCTCGTTCAACTGTTTTGTCTCTTCCCATCAGAGACCCCGATGTTGGACGATGGGGAGGAAGGCGGCGTGAAGCTTTGGCATCTGGTGAAAGCCAACGACGAGTCCGACTTACCGAAGCGCAGGAGGGGCAGCGTGAGGGAGAGAGGTGGGGAAAGAGCGAAGGCTATTCCCGAGATCTACCTCACACGTCTGCTCTCCATGAAGGTAAAACACAGGAATTATTCACACACTCAAAGCTTTGATTTACACATTTTATATGAAAGTATATCTGATGGGATCTAATGCCTGCAACTGGACACATATGAAATATTCATTTTCATCATGCATGCCGTCTCGATACATTGTGTGGTAATCAATTCACTAAAACAAACACTTCACAAGATTCAATGGGTTTTAAAGTAATTTGTAGAATAAATTTGGTAATTAACTCCAAATAGTATATTATGAACTTACCTCAAAGCTGCCTCATGCAGTCAGAGTACTGTTAGTTTATTAATGAGCATCGAAATTGATATAATTCTTTAAAGAAACCAAGGATGAAAACAGGACTCTGTATAACGTTTTTAATGGATCCTATATTTCCCAGAATGCACTGCACCTCCTGTTAGATCCCGTTTATTAAAATATTTTTCCCCCCAAAAAATGTTTTCCTTCTCTTGAGAACGATGGTGGCTTTAAATAGAGATTTAGTTTGTTCGTTTATTCATTCTCTGTGAAGTTTGCTGCCCAGCAGCCAGAGCGTTAAAGACATGTAAAGGGAACTTCATGTGTAAAATCAGAGGAGTTTCCAATCATGACACCATCTTACCTTTGTTTCGCTGCTCATTTGTTGCCGTCACGTTCTCTGCTGTCTCAGGGCACTCTGCAGAAGTTTGTGGATGATTTATTCAGTGCCATCCTCAGCACCAGCCGCCCCGTACCGCTGGCTGTCAAATACTTTTTCGACCTGTTAGATGAGCAGGCCCTGCAGCACAGCATCACAGACCCCGAGACCATCCACATCTGGAAAACCAACAGGTAACTCAAGTTCGGAGGACCCAACTCTGTTGCTCCATGAAAAGTTGCATTCGTTTTAAAGTCTTGTCTTGCGCCGACAACAGCAGAACTTCAGTTAACGTTTGCTTTCCGGTCTTATCAAACAGTTTGCCACTTCGCTTCTGGATCAACATCCTGAAGAACCCACAGTTCATCTTTGACGTGCAGACCTCCGATCATGTGGATGCTGTTCTGTCCGTCATCGCTCAGACATTCATGGATTCCTGCACCCTCGCTGACCACAAGCTGGGGCGGGTGAGTTTGTCCCACACACTCTGAAACCAGTATGCAAACTTCTCCATGGCAAAACTGTAAAGCTGGACTACAGATGATGACAATGCTGCTGTATGATCATAAAACTTGTTTTGTGCACTCTATATTAAAAGGATTACCTGTACTGTGTGACTCACTGAACCGTTTTCTCTATTTTCCTTGTGCAGGATTCTCCCATCAACAAGTTGCTGTATGCCAGAGACATCCCACGTTACAAACAGATGGTGGAGAGGTAAAAAATATGGCAGCCAGTCGCCCCATTGACCCTAGGCATATAAAACCTCTATAGAGGAGAAAAGAGGGAGGGAGGGAAGCTGAGGACATCTGTTAGTGGCAGACAGAAGGTAGACTAAGCCTGCGAGGCGTCCATGCATGGATAGTCTGGAAGCAGACTGCTACCCTTACTGCACATGAAGTCCTGCAGATTGTACAACTAATATATTCAGCAGTCACTGAGCAAGTTGCGCTAACAGATTAGCTTCTTTGATTGGCCTCATTAGTTCTATGCATATATTTTTAAAAAGTAACCACCTCAAGATTTTTGTACACATTTTCTTTTTGGTATAATTTGCATTTGAATTACTGTATTTTTCGGATTATAAGGTGCACTTAAAATCCTTTAATTTTCCCACAATTAACAGTGAGTCTTATAATCCGCTGCGCCCGGTAAACTTAAAAAATAAAAATCAGTCTTGAGCTTTAGTCTCTGATACAGACTGAAGAAATAAAGAATCATTGAGCACATTCTGCACCAGCTGCAGTAAAATGAAGGTAAAAGTGTGCATTAAAAATAACAAATCTCTTTTTCAGAGAGCTTTATTTTTCCTCTTTCGTTCTCCAGGTACTACGCTGACATTCGACAGACCATTCCCGCCAGCGATCAGGAGATGAACTCGGCTCTAGCTGAACTTTCTCGTGTATGTCGTTTTCTTTTTAACCCCTCCAATTAAAAAAAATATATTTATGTTGACTGGATACAGTAGCTAATTTTAGAAGCTGAAATTTCGAATGAATGCAAAATAAGGTTGGCATGGATGTTGCAATAATATACTGTCAGCAAAACACAGTGTTTACCCCTTTATTTTTGACCCAAAACAGAATTACACAGCTGAGGTCAACTGCCTTGTGGCTTTAAATGAGCTGTACAAGTATATCAACAAATACTATGACCAAGTAAGTATCACAGAAACACACTCTTTTATGCTTCTCATTTCCACTGACCTTGCCCCAGCTGAATCTTTAAATGGCACAAAAGCTTCAGTTAAATTTGTTTCTAATTGTGGATAGAAGGTCTGATTTGACACCCCCCCCATTAAAAAAGATTATTAATTTTATGTTTTGGTTAACAAGCAGGTCGAGAAATATTTGGGGGCTCGTCCGGGATCATGTAAACTTTATTAGTGGAGACTGAACAAGAGTTTTTCCTGTGAAGAAAATTTCTGAAATGAATGCTGCAGTTTGTTGTATTTGTATTTTATTTAGGCTTATTTTATAGTTGTTTATCATCTACAAACACTGATCTAATATGTAAATATTATATATTACGAATGGAACTGACTCAGAGTGAATGTGGCTACTTAAGTGAGTCACAGATTTACCACAAATAGTCCAAGTCCTGCCCAGCTGCTCACCTTTATGACTTGTATGGGCCACACAGTGCTCTTAATGACCTTCAGGCTGCAACTAAACCTCCCAACAAGAATTCAAAAAGCGTTCAATACAAAAAACAAGAATTGTGCTCAGAGTTCTGGATTAGGCTCAAATGTGTCGGCTGCATAAGAAAACTGAGCTCATGTCTCAGTTATGGTTGTCGCCGTGTGGGCATGGCTTGCACACATCCTTATCTATAAATGCATACCTCCATTATTATTCCATCCATCTGTAAAGTATGTATGTGGCTACTTGCAACCAACTTTTTCCATCTTTTTGTCAGATTATCACGGCTTTGGAGGAGGACGTTACGGCTCAGAAGATGCAGCTCGGTTACAGGCTCCAACAGATCGCTGCTGCTGTAGAGAACAAGGTGACAGACCTATGACCTCGAACCAGGACAGTTGTTTTATAGATGGAGCAGTTCGTGAAATGAAGCCATTGTTTTACCTGGGAACAAAAGGATGGTACTGTGGCACATACTGGGATTACGCTGTTTGAACAGACTGGTTTGGATGTGACTGGAGACATTAAGGATCGCTGACCTTGTTTCCTGCCACCTGCTTCAAACTTCCACATGTCCTGTTACTGGGAGGAAAGGAAGTTTCCACCAACAAAGGGGAACAGTGTGAGAAAATGTGAAACAAAGCACATTAAAACATTTCACATCGGTTTAATTTCCCTTCATTTAAAGGACGTCACGGTATGAAGAGATCCTTTCTTGGATTTTTCTTTCCTGATGAACGTCATCGTAACGGACTGAGCATTAACAGGTTTGAATCTTTGTGCTGGAGGACAAACATGGAGGCCGTCGCTTTTAATGTTGGCAACTGTGGAGTCTGTTCTGCTCTTTTAATGTCTTACACGCAGGACAAACTCTGTCCACTGTCTAATTATTGAATCTGAGGGCTTTCCTGTTTTCTTTTGGAGTTATTTTAGGCCTTTCATTCAAGTCTTACTTTATATTTTTTCACGTTCAGTCATTAGATTTTTTTCTGGTCTTTTGTTTTTTATTGCTAAGCTTGAACAGACGCTCAGTGTTTTATTTCTGTGGTAGCTCTTCACACGTGTTAATGTTGAGGGGCTTTTTAAATGTGTTTCCCCAAACCTGTTGCTCCAAGAAGATTCCTAAAAGAATATAAATGTTCATCTACATGTTTTGAAAGTGAAAACCTTACTGTATTAAAATGGACTGAAATGTTAAATTATTTAGCATTAAATTCCTGTAAGATTACCACAAACCTATAATAAAAGAAACAAAAATCTGAGAAAATATGAATGTTTTCAAAGTTACAGGTGTGATAATTAATTTTAAGCCCTGCGTCACGTTTTTTTATTACGTATTTTCTGCCGTACACGTTGCACCGCCCTATAAATCGCATCAGTCCAAATATGTGTAATAAAGTGGAAAAATCCATAAATATGTCTCTTCGCCTTGTAAGTTGCATCTAATATGCGTCACCGCCGACAACCCGGAAACGTGGGCCGGTGTTGTGCCAAAAATCGATTCGCTGCCAAATAGTGGGCGCGGGAGCATGCACCGGAGGATTTTAACAAGATTAACACTTAAAAACAATTATATGTTTGCTTGAAATTATAGTAAAGGCGTGTTTCAGTCTAACGTTTCCTTAATAAATGCACTTTGACAGTGAAATCAGCTGCATTTCAAAAGCCGATTTGCGGCTGCGGGAGCGCGCGGAGGGCGACTCGCTGTGCATTTCTTCAAAATTTAACAAGATAAGCACCTAAAACAATTATTTGTTTGTGTGACATTATAGCAAAGGTGTGTCTCAGTTCAACTTTTACTTAATAAATGAACTTTAATGGTCAAATCAGCTGCATTTTAACGGGGCGGTGCAACGAAACGAAGCTGATTTGACAGTTGCTCCAGGCGAGCTGGACGAAGATGGCTTCTGTGGCAAGCCGATTGTGTCATTAATAGCCACTTTTACCTATTGCATAACACAACGGCATGCCATACTACTCGAGTGTTGAGTGCCATCTAGAGGCTAAAAATGGTAGTGTTCAATATTTTCAGTCAGATTGAATGAAAACAGTCAAATCTCAGCCACAAATTGGTTCATAAATATGTAAATTATGGAAATAAATTGACTTATAGGTTGAAAAATACGGTATAATTCTGAGGTTTGTTGTGAAAAAATAGAGGTTTGAATAAATTTCAAATCATGAGATTCAGTGAGGACAGAATCGTTATAGGTTTATGCATAAATGTGCGTTTTACTGATTTCCCTCGTAAGTTTGGCTTCTTTTTATCCGGTGCTCCTTTTTTATTTAGGTTGGACTTCCTGTGTTTTTACAGTTTGAGGGAGGGGGATTGTCTGCATTGAAATGTTTTATTTTGTTGTTCTTTCTGTGGTTTTCTGAGTTACAGTCAGCTCTGCCTGTTCTACCCATAAGAAAAAACATTTACACAAACCAAATCGATGTGTCCAGATGTTTGCGTTCATGTTCACGGTGCTGAAGTGGTGGCAGCAGATCTAAACTCTTCTACACGGTTTCTCCTTCATATCTAGACTTAAATCTGACATGATGTTAAACAAAGCTGCTCTGCAAAGCCACAAAGCTTTTATTAGTTATTTAATTTATTCTTTATTTATTTTATTGCTTAAGTTGTTGGTTATTTTTGTCAAACCTATAAAACGGTAACCGTTAAGCCCTTATTATGACTCCGTTTGTGTTTTGTTAAAGAACAGTTATTGCTTTTGTTGTATTTTTTTATGTCTGTAAGGAACCACTGGGATCAAAAATCTAATTTACTTCCAGCTTTTCAGATATTTTAATCTTCTTACATTCTGCTTCAATTTTAAAATGATTAGAAGCTATGTTTTATAATGCTGCAGTTACTTTGTACATAAAACAAATCCTTTGTCCTGCACATTCATGTGGTTTGCAGATTATGTGAGCACATCTGAGTTTTGATGCTTTTCGTGTAGATAAACACTGTTTCCACGTATTCCTGACTTTAGCGGTCTCCAACTAACTGATAGGACGAGCCTAACAGCTTCATGTGATGCAATAAAGTGTTTATATGTCAATAAATGTCTTTCAGTATTTGTTAGTTTTTCCCAACCATTCATTAGTTCATGAGATATTTCGCTAACACACAAAACTAAAACACCAAAAGCAAACTCCCAAAATGATCCCAGCACAGTTTTAATCAGGTAATTATTGTTATTAATTATTATTTTTTATTTATTTTATCACCAGCAAACATTCTATCTACGCCCTGTCTTCAATGGGTCAGACAGGAAGTTCCATATATGGTCTTCCTCTCTCATGTGACCTGTGAAACTGTTCTGATATGAATGGCAGCCAGGCAATCAGACAGAGGGTAATCCTGCAGCCTACATCGGTCCTGAGTGAAGGTTTTAGCACGGGGCTATTCAACTAGTGGCCCGGGGGCCAAATCAGGCCCACGGGGGAGTTCAGTTCAGCCCCTCAGTGGGTTCATTTTTAAATAAAACTAGATTTTAAACCATGAAATAAACTTATGTAATGACAATAACTGCTGGATGCCTGGCCCCTGAGCTCTTGGCTATCAGTAACTGTGGCCCGCTGAGCATTTTAGTTGAATAGCCCTGTTACCTTCAAAATAAAACATTTCCCATCTTGACCAGAGCCATGTCATTATTCTGCTGACGGAATAACGACAAAGGAATGTAAGCCGCGTTTCAGTGTTTGGTGGTCAGGTAGAAGGTTGATGTGCTTTATCTGAAGCCAGATCAGATCTCTACACTGCACTAACCCACTGATCCAGATCCATTCAGGTATCTCTGCCCCGCGGGAGGAGTCCCATTGTTTGGAAACAGAACCTGTGCAGGCTCTTCTGTAAAGGATGAACTGAAGCAGGACACAAACTGGATGAAACATGCACATTATTACCAGGCTCAGTGTGATTTATCTGTTTAAATAAAGGTTGAATGAGTGCATATGTGGCAAATACTCTCAACGATGTGACCCTTTAAAGGTAAAGAGCTGAAAAATTAGGCTTTGAAATGTGGAATGGTCTCGGGACAGGATGGTTCCATCACCTACAGTTTACCAACAGTGATAGAAATGGGCTCAAATTACTGTGTGTACAGGGATTGGGTCAAACAGGAAGGAGAGCCAGTCACCGCCAGCTTTTGTGTTGGAGAGGGACTGATTTCTAAGCCAGGTTTAGCCTCGTACGACCCCAGCAGCCCAAAGGTCAAACTCCCCATGGGACTAAAGGGGAAGGAGGAAAAAAAAAATAATCTGTCACTCGCCCTCCTCTTCTGATCCGTTGGTCTCATGTGGCATTCCTCTCATCTTCCAGGGCCTCTCTGCTCGTGGCTTTGGCTTTTCCACAGAAGAGGGGGAAGCAAAGAGCCGAGAAACACGGAAGCACAAACATTTTCAATCGATCTGAAGCGACTGAAGTCGGGACATGAAACAGGAAAGCAGGTGAAACCCTGACAGTGGTGAGTTAAGTGTCTGCTGGGGATCTCCACATTTGGATCCAGCCTTGAAGAGAGATCGATACGCCCGCCTCCACCGCCTCCACACCGGCTTACAACTGCTGCAATGTGGAGGTGAAGCTTTCTTGGTGCTTCGTCCAAACTTGGCTTTCAATATCTGCAGGTTTCCAGCTCCTTTTTGAAATCCAGATTACAGCCTCTCTCTCTGCTGTGGTAGACAATGCAGAGGAGTTCCTGTTCTGCTCCAACAGCTGCACGGCAGCTCCGCATGTAAGTATAGCCCTTTGGTTTCCAAGATTTATGTTTGCTGTGGTGCTTGTCTGTAGTTTCATGCTGTCGAGGAGAGACAGACTGCTCAAACTGCCGACTGATATAATAAACCTTATATGGCTCCTTCCACAGGATAGAAACCACTGTAAGGCGCTTCGCTGCACAAAATGTAAAACACCTAAAACAGAAAACACAAACAACAAGTGAAAACAATACATTGTACGGCCCATGTCTAAATTACAGCCTGTCTAAATAAGAGTGTTTGGCTGCTTTTTTAAAAAGAATCAGCCGAAGCAAGGCAACACGTTCTGCAGGGGCCACGACTTTCCTCTGGTCATCAGTCTCTGTCCTGAGGACCTCAGACTGTGAGAACGGCTGTGCAGATTTAAAAGGTCAAACGTGGAAGCTGGAGGTCGACTGCACAAGGCTCTGAGCGTGAGAAATGAAAACTGAAAACCTAAAGTATCCTGATGCACGCTCAGTAATCCAGGTAGACTCCAGCCAGTCATCAGGTGAAAAGGGGGAACACAGACCAGTGGTCATTCCGTATGTTGCAGGAGTTTCAGAGAAACTGAGACGTTTATTTTCTAAACATGACGTCCCAGTGGCTTTCCAACCCCAAAATACATTACTGGTATTGTATTACTGGTCCATCACAAAGATCCAGTCCCCTGATACAAACAGAGTAATATTGCGTATGCTGTTCAGTGTCAGGAGGGTGATCAGTCTTACATCGAGGAAACCAAACAACCACTGGCCAAAAGGATGGACCAGCACAGAAGAGCAACATCATCAGACCAGGACTCTGAGGTCGACACTCATCTCCAGGCCAGAGGTCACTCTCAGGGACGAAGATGTTCACATCCTGGATAGAGAGGAACGACGGTTTTGAGAGAGGAGTGAAGGAAGCCATCTTTGTGAAGAGAAACCATCCATCATTAAACAAGAGAGGAGGCCTCCATGTCCAGTTGTCACCTTCTTGCAATGCTGTTATTGCTAGCATCACTTAGAGCCGCGATTTCTGGCCCGAACCGTAGCCTGACCCGGTCAGTTCGAGCTTTTGATGCGGTTTTACGAATCATACAACACAAAGAAAACTAAATAAGAATTCACAATATCAAACTGTGTTTATTTGTAGAGGAGGAGGCAGTAAGTTTACTGAGGACGAGAAAAAGAAATAAAATAAAGTGCAGCAGTTAGACTGTGAGAAGAGAGAGTAGCGCTGGGGCACATTGCGCAACAATTGCACGTGGCCCCGTCCGCCCTTTGTTCTTATCACACATCTGAGGATTTGCAATTGACCCCGACCGGCCGGTTGAAAGAGATTTAAAAAAAGAGTCCTGTTAGGCTTCAGATGGATCACCGGCCGCGCGCGTCTCCACACCTGCTGTCATCTGCGGTGAAGGAAAAAGCTGAAGCGAGCAGCGCGTTCAATTAAAATAGCCTTGTTCTATATTTTTCCAAATAATTTAGCTCTAAAAATATTTTTGTTCATCTGTGGTCTGTCTTTAGAGTGGATTTTTTTTAGGCTTTTCGTTTTGTATGTTAATATCCATTTGGTGAAACAAGAAATCTAATATCTTCCCTTCTTTGAAATACATTTTTAAAATATGTCAGTCTGATTTGCTTACAAAAGCACTAAAAGATTAATTAAAAAAAGTTTTTTTGGGGGGTTCGGGCCTGTTATTACAGTTAATTGTCAGGTCAGGTTGGATCTTTTAGAACTGAATGCAACTCTAGTATCACTCAGCCCTCTGTGAATAGCAAGCGGCCATCAGGGCACTAACGATCAGTCGTTAGTCCTCCTTGATCATGTGATCAGCTGGTTTTGGCTGTCACCAGCAGACTGGATGCTCCACTGTGAGAAGGTGCTATTTAAGAGACTGAGTTTGTTGCAGCTCCTCAGACTGAAGAAGTCTTCTGGATAAAAGACGAAACATTTCAACATTTTTTTTAAAATCATTTAAATCCATCCAGAGGACCCGACTTAACCAGACTAATGTAAAGTGTAGCAGTTAGTGCAGAGGATAAAACAGGTCTAATGTGTTTGTCTCGTGTTTGTTTGAAGTCTGACGGGAGACGCTCGAGCTCCTTCTCCTTCCAAAAATAAAAAAAAACTGTTGCAAACAAGATGAGATAAAAGTCCATTTTATTTATAAAGCACATTTAAAACAGCAGCTGTTACCGGCTGATCATCTCCCGTTCAGACTTTGGAGCCATTTGTCACCTGGAAGAAGCAGCTTTTATTGCCAGCTCTTTAAAGTGAGGATTGTTTTGCCACGTGAGGTCGTTGGCAGAAGAATCTCTGACGGAGTTCAGTCTCCTGCTGGATGAAAGTGGGTTGTTTCATTTTTGCAAACACGTGTTTCTTAGATATGTTCTTTAATTTTATAACCTTGCATTTTTGCATGAGACAAAACAACACCATTGGCTCATTTTATTTTTGTCTTTAGCTCCTACAGCAGCAGCTTATTATGAAGGAGCCGATTCAAAACGCCCCGGGATTATTTTAGGCCTCACCTGAACGTTACTTTAAAGATCCAGATGGTTACATTTCATTAAATATTTGAACACTACTGATTATCTACTACTCAAAGAATCCTAAAATGTTCACATACACTTGTTTGCAATCATAAAATGCTTTTAAAACAAAGAACTGAGTATTTTTTTCGTCAGACGCGACGTGACCCGAGGACCTTCAGCCGTCGGGGTGGCACAGATCGTCAGCAGCTGGGATGCAGAGGTCTCGGGTTGCACCGACGGCCTGTAAAGCGATTTACAGCCGAGTCAGAACTAGTGCCACTTCCGATGCCATCTGTCTGCTCTTGATTGGGCAGTGGGACAAGTTTCCACTGGAAACTGAATCCGTGTGAAATTTTAAAAACTGCTGAAGTCTCTACAGCAGAGCTACTCAACAAAACTGCTCAGGGGGCCGGTGGTCGAGAAAGTACTCAAACACTGTACTTAAGTAAAGTAAAAGTACAAATAAACAGACACAAATGTACTCTAGTAAAATAAGAAGTACCACGTTAACATTTTTGCTTAAGTAAAATTAAACAAGTACTTGTCTTTAAAAATACGTAAAGTATTAAAAGTACTTGCTGAACGTATTACCCAATGCAATAGTCTACACTATCGTTAAGTGTACTTACTGTACGTATATTTTATGTAATACATTAATAGTGTTGAGTCATTTTAATGAACAATGCTGCAGATAATACAAAGTATTAAATCAGTATACTTCTAGTACACTACAAGTATGGTGTGTAGTATACTTGATATACTTATACTTAACTTAAAGTAAACTTGCAAAATTAACTTCAAATGTACTACTTTTTGTTAGAAATGTAGTGTAGTAGAAAGTATAGATACTTTATGTAAAATGTAATGGAGCGAATGTCCAAAGTACCCACGTTTAACTCGTTTAAGTAAAGTAAAGACACATGGAAAATGTACTTAGTACAGTAACGAAGTACTTGTACTTAAGTACATCCCACCACTGGGGGCCGGACATCCAGCGATTAAATCATTATGTGAATAAACCAAAGTTTAAAGTGATCTGTTACTTTTTAAACTTGTTTATTTGATTGCATTGAATCATAAATGTAATAAATAGAACTCACCCCCCCCCAAAAAAACAAACAAACAAACAAACAAACAAAAACAACATTTTGAATGAAGTGGGCTGGATTGAAGTCACCCGCTGGCCACCAGTTGACTAACCCTGCTCTACAGACACACGAGCAGACTCCAGTTTTTATTACACATCTGTGTTTGCAGGTCTAAGGGAGGCGCCCCGGATCACTTGCAGCTCCACCGTACGGACAGTCAGGACTCTGAAGACCCCGGAGAATATTGTTACGGTACATGGAGGCTCTGCAGATGGTCGTGGTTTTCCTCTGGATGACTTATCCTCTCCTGTAGAAGTCCTATAAATAAGAAGCAGCTTGATCCGTGACGTCTCATGTGTTCTCCGTCCACAGGTGGGTACCATCCTGTCCAGGTTGGAGACACTTTCAACACGAGGTACCAGGTGGTGTCCAAACTCGGCTGGGGAGTTTTCTCAACCGTGTGGCTCTGCACAGACCTGAAGTAGGTCCAGCTGAAGTTTGTACAAACCTAAGTCGATCAGAAGGAGGAGGTGGTGAAAAGCTGAGGGAGCTCTGGTTTGGTGTCGGCAGGTCGGCTCGACGAGTGGCCGTGAAGGTGCTGAAGAGCGGTGCTGGTTTCACCCAGGCGGGGCAGGATGAGCTGGCTCTTCTACGCTGTGTCAGTGACCTCTGCCACGTGTCCACTCGGCTTTTCCGCACTTCTCTGAACACTGTCCAAAACTCATCTTCATCTTCATCCAAATGTTTTAATCCCCTGAACTCCTCTTCTTCATCAGGCCAGTGCCCTTGCGGGTCGCCACCACTCCAGTCGACGAATTGTTCAGCTGCTGGATGAGTTCAAGCTGGTCGGGGTCAACGGGGTCCGTATCCTTCATGTGGGCTCTCATTTCTTGGCCGGGAGTTTGTAAACTCGACACCAGGAGTTTGTTTTATGTGCGGCAGAACCACTGAAGTTCATCAGTCAGACCGAGACGATCAAACTTTAAATAAAGTGTGAACGTATCTAAAAATGTTCCTTTACAGCTGGACTCTAAGGTGACCTTAACCCCCCCGTCAGACACGTGTCTGGTTCTGGAGCTGCTGGGACCCGATCTCAGAAGCTGGCGGCTGTGTTTTGGGAAACTGGGACTGCCACTTCCTTGGGTCAAACAAATATTAACTCAGGCGAGTTCCACAGAGCAATAAGAATAAAAAATAAAAATATATACATAGATATGGATCCATCCATTATCTTTACCCACTTCTTCCTTTTTTGGGTCACGGGGGTCACTGGTGACACCTGGACAGGTCTCCAGTCCATCACAGGGACAAATAGAGACAAACATTCACTCTCACCTAGAGACAATTTAAAGTTACCAATCAGTCTAACATGCATGTTTTTGGTCTGTGGGAGGAAACCCACACATGCGCGAAGAGAACATGCAAACTCCACCCAGAAAGGCCCCCGGCCGGGATTTGAACCGGTGTGACCTGCTCGCTGAGAGGTGGCAGCTCTACTAACTGAGCCACCGTGCCGCCTTGAAATGGACACATTTAGTGTTTATCGTATTTAGAGATGAGTTGTTTCGGCTATTTGTAAGAAAGTTAACGTCAGCTAAAAATATACATCAACAGCAGCAAAACTGAAAGCTTAAAGAAGTGCAAAAGTAGCTAAAATCACAAAATGATACGTTAAATATGATTAAAACTGCATTCAAAATGAGCTAAACATATGCTAAATGTGAAATAAAAAGCACAAGCTAAACTTATTAAAAGATATGCTAAAATGATCACAACAAAAGCTAAAATAAACAAAACATAAGCTATAGTTAAAATTGATATAAAATATGTTAAAATTAACAAAACCGTAACTAAAAGCATCAAAACAGATGCAAAAGCTAAAATCATCAAATTAGCAGCTAAATACTGCAAGGTGTAAAAGTAAAGTAAAATTGTATCTAAATGATAAAGGTGGCTGAATAAAGGCAACACGTAGCTAAAAGGAAACTGTGGACAGGAAAACAACAATTGAACCAAAACCAGCTGACTCAGACATACTCTACATTCCTCTGTAGGTTCTCCAGGGCTTGGACTACCTTCACAGGCTGTGCAAAATAATCCACACAGACATCAAACCAGAAAACATCCTGCTGAGTGTGGAGCTGCAGTCCCACAACACGCCAGCAGGGGGCAGCAGCGTCCTCTCTTTACCTGCTGGGATGGAGGCCAACACCAAAGGTAAGGTTGGCCTTTAGGTTCTGCTCATGCAGGAGAGGTTAGGAGGGTTATCTGAAAGCTGGGCAGTTTACAGCTCAGCATCCAGGGCGACATGAACCTGTGCACAATGCTCTTAAAACCAACAAAACAAAAGATGAACAGGCATACTAACAAAAATAAAGATTTTTAATATACTTTAACTGAACATTATTATTTAGGCTTATTTGCTACAGATATGGTGTAACAGCTGTAAGAGCTGGTGACATATATTCAGTAACAGCCATGTGCATCACTTTAACTTATATCAAATGAAAAGTGTTAAATGTTATTTATTAGCATTAGTCACCTGCGATGCTGTCTCGCTTGTGGAGGCTTGTTCCAGGTTCAGCTGCAGAGTGGGATCCTCTGCACTCCTGTGCATGAAGGACAGACGTTTTAAGTTTTAGTCTATCCATTGTGCCGTAAGACTAATCATGCTAACGGGGCTAACACGACGCTCAAATGTCTGTGGTAAAACTCACCCAAGTGCTATTAGCTTCTCAATGACGTTGGAAATGACGGCTTGTAACTCGGGTAAGGCTACGTCATAAAAATATGTCAGACCGGGGACGATGTAGCGAGGCTCAACGTAGTCCAAAAATCTTTGGAATCCAACATCCTCAACGAAAAAAAAATCTTCCACACCACCAACATTTTGACTTCTTCCTCTCCGCCGTGATCAGATCAGCGCCACGGCGTTGTTGTGCTGCCGCCGCAGGCATCCTGGTCACTGGGTTGTCGTACAAAAACACTGTATTTTACATCGGTGAGTTAATTTGGAGGGAATGACCGATGTCCAGTATTTAACTTTACCGCTAATATCGGCCGATACGGATACCATGCTGATAATATCGTGCATCCCTAAAATGAAATACATTTAAATTGTTACTAGCACAAGATGTGTGTGTGTGTGTGTGTATATATATATGTATAAATGTATTTGTTTAAAATTTATTAATTTTATTATTTATTTATTAGTTTTACATTATTAATATTTTATTCATTACATCTTTCTTTCTATCTTTCTATCTTTTTATCCATCTGTCCATCTATCTATCTATCTATCTATCTATCTATCTATCTATCTATCTATC